GGATGCATCCTTGCTGGGGCTATTACGTAGGATTCCGAACACAGAGTTGTTGCGGCGATCAGGATTCATTTTAACTAGAATAACTAGAGGGGTAGTGTCGTTGATTTTGTTGTATTTGGTTATACGAATACGCCCGTAAACAAGTATGCTATTTTGAGTCAGTATATGCATCATATTTCATAATATGTATCTAATACATTTGCAGTTCGGTGCTGTTTCTCTCGCACACGACCATTTATTTCCCGTAGCATATTATAAAATATCTCTTCTCTTCAATCACCGTCTATTTCTTTCCTTAGTAAATACCGAGCATCTGCGTCTGTGTATATAATATTTTCATCGCATAATCTTAAAATCACCCATTCACCGTTACCACCCATTATCAATAAATATTCCAATCAAATATTTCACATACGACTGTCATATATGCATCTCACTAAAGACCTACATACGTACTACTAACCAGTCGTCAGTCAGCAATGCCAATCATTCTCCTATCTAATCGCGTATCTAGGCTTGTCCCTTCCATAACTGTCTCAGTGGTTCGCCCCTCACTAATTGTAAGGAATCAATTTATCGGGGCAAGCGGCGGACCTCGCTTCTGCTCCTTCTGGCTATCGCTCGCTCGCAATTTTGTTTCTCGCTTCATTCTCCTTCAAATTCAACAAAGCCGCCTAGTCTTTGTTGAATCGCTGCGTTTAGCGTTCGAAAATGTTCATTTGAGAATCACATCATTAGATTCTTACTGTTTGATGGCATCCAAAATCATCCATTCAAAATGTTACCAAAGAAAATGTTCATATTGAAGGTAATTTCCTTTCGGTGTTATGATTTATGTTCGTGTAGTGATAATTTCCTTCCAGCGGAGGAGAGGGTTAGGGATTGGCAAGAGAAGGTTGAATATTGCTAGTCGTATACAAGATTCGTATGAACGATGGCTGTTAAAAATAAATACAAACAATTGCGAAAAATATTTTTGAAAATAATAATACAGATGTAGATTGGATTCGTGCTGCCTAATAGTAAGAGTGAAATTATTAACCGAATTTGTACCATTCATTCATCAACTCAGAAGGTGATGCTTTTGATAATACAATAAGTAAAAGCCGTTACATTGCACAGAGTTGCAAAAAAAACCAGCATAATTCCATTTAAAAATACATAATGATGTCAAATAAACGCTGCACATTGCAACTTGAAGAGAACCAATCATCAACATCAATGAAATGCAACAGAACGAAATAAAACAATTGTAACAATTGCAAACGAGCGATAATAAACGCTAACTGGAACATGCATCATTAATGATGTGTTTGTTCACAACATTACTTCAGTACAACGATTTGACGCATCGATGCGTTCTCTTATCACAATTTACTTTAGCGAACGAGTCAACATCAAAACTAACCGCAGCTAATCTTGCAGCGAATTGCTTATAGACACCGTCGTGTTCATGGAATCGTTTCAAATGCGTCTTCAAATTATTCGGACTTCGATCATCACCCCTCCAATCGCAATGCAAACAAATCACACCACCAGTTCCGTCTGAAATGCTAACGATTGAAATTGATACTTTTGACATAATTTTGACACCGCATGCCGCAAATTTGGTTCACTTGAATGTCGATGCAGTCAGCAACTGTTTCATTGCTTACATTTAATTGCAAGTGTTTGACGCTAATTCTGTTTGTGTTTTCTGGGATGATTTAGTTGCAACCGAACTGAACGCTTAAGTAGTTGTTGACAACTGAGTTTGCTTGCGATGAGTGCACAGTGCAAGAGGACAATCACTCATCAACATACATAATCGCAACTAATAGGTTAACAAATAAGTGCTGGTGTATACCAACCAGGTGCACGCAGATCTTTGAAGAACTCCCAGACAGGATGTGACTTCTTGCGACCAGCATTACGCATCCACGGTGATATCGAGTCGGGAGGTCGTTGCTCAAGTGTCGTTCGTGCCTCTTCAACGAAAGGTTCCTTCTGTGATGTAACACTGCGTTGATCGTCAGATGTAGCGATCGCGTAATCGCTCTCGTCATAATTGTTTGTTGATGCGGTCGATGTTGACGGCACCGTATCGAGCACTGACGATGACTGAAAGCCAACCTTAACTTATCATTCCCAATAAGCACATTACTGCTTGTATGCATACAATATCACGTAACATAACGTCATCGCTAATTACTAAAATAAAGACGGGAATGACAATGTAAGCTATAGAACCGTATAAGATAATCGGTCATCTGATCAGTTCACTTATGTGTCAATTCAGTTACGATAGCGGTAAATATCAAGCCAGACTGATACCAAATTTAGTCTGCGATAACATTCCGAAACATCTCAATAATCGAAGAAATTTAATAAAATAATTTCAAGAAACAGACCGAGTCGAACGATTCAAGTTTTCAAACGAAACATCGAAGTATATATGAAAAAAAAGCACGTACTCTGTTCTTCTGATCGGTGAGTTCAGTTGTTTTACTTGATAGAAGTGCCATTAACGAAACGTCATTCGTTATCGTATAAGCCTCACTCGATTGACTTCCCTGGAAAATATGTTTTGTTTTGGATATACTTAGCATACGAACAGGTAAAAGTTGGAGGACTTTCGTCTCCTCCGAATGAGTATCAACCGCATTCGCTCAAGCGTAAATACTCAGCTTGAGTCTGAACCGTCAGCCTAATTCATGTGAATGAGGCCAGCACTCAATCGGATAAGACGGCGAATTACGCAAGTTGCTGACAATATTGTCAAGAAATCTGCAACCATTGATTTGAAGTGCATACGAATAATTCAAAAATACATACAGCTAAGTTTATTTAGAAGCATCAAAGATCAGAATTATATATTCGTCCAGAATTGTACACAGATGCGCATATACAAATTATGGATCATAGCACTGTCCTGAGATTCTTAAATGACGACGGTATCTCAATTAATCGCTTCTAGTTGACAGCCATTTTCAGAAGGTGGAGAAGAGATCAGTTTTAAATCGATGAAAAATTATACGTTTTCAGTTGTCATGGTTGAAATGATATCCCCCAAAACTTCGCTTGCGTACACATCAATTGGGGTGCAATTATACACACATTAGCAGGATTTTGCAAAAAATTCAAATGAAAAACGGAAATTTGAAACGACTGGAAAGCGTGCAAAAGTATTGCGTGCAAAGCGATGAATTTCATGAAATAAGAAAATTTCTTACAGCAATAAATGATGTTGGAACAATGAGAAATTCATGAAAAGGTTCAGAAAGTCGAACAGAAAACATCAGACAAATTTTTCGGAATAAATGAATAAATAAACATATGCTCAAAGCGTTAGATGATATCGACAGTGAAAATGTTACGAATATATCTCAACGGGTCTCGTAATACAATCAATAAAGAAGACCAGTCGAAAATGAAAACGAAAAAAATTTCACGGAAAAATTAATATTGAGACGAAAGTAATGAAGAATAATCTTTGGAGCACTGAAAATGAACGAAATTGAGAGAGCGATTGGAGATACAAAAAGCGAATGATATCAGCATTCGAGATCGTTAGCGACTGATAGCCGCGGCTTAAAATGGGCAATGAAGAAATATTCGTGAAAATTTTCTCGATTATTTCGCAATAATTTCGCTTTGCAAGAATCATTCTTGCTGTCAAAAATTTCAAAAATCAATATTCAAAAAATGAGCTCAACTTCATCACTTTTTTAGCCAACAACTCATTCGACAAACTTTTTTTCGTAGAAATTGTTTAAAATAACGATTCATCGCTTGATTATTCAAAAATTTCAATAAACCCGAATCATTTGGCCTCAACTACACGCGTAGAATGTTTTAAAGACGAGAAAAAGTCGTTCGGACAGATCGTTTTGAGAGGATTTGTCTATGAGAACAACACTGAACCGATTTCAGACAAAAAATTTCACCGAAAAAAAACGACCAAACGAAATGCTTGATAACATACAAAAGTTGACCATCAACACGATTCTAATGAACATCAAATCAATTTGAATGAATCAAAATGAAAAAAAAAATTCTCTACAAAATTCACCATTCCACCAAAAAAATGCAAAGCAAGCAAACAGTTGTGTTAGCAACTAGCTGACCGACTGAGGCGTGATGATGATCATCGCCGTTCAGATAACGATCTTTTATTGTATCGAATTCGATTGTTTTAATTTTTTAACAAACTCGCAAATCGACAAATTCAATCGAAAAAACCGTGCAATAACGATTAAAAGAACTTCCCTCAAGATTCACTGGATTAAACAAGACGAACCAAGCTATGCAGAATGCATAATGGAAAAGTGGTTTGAATTGAATTTTAAAAAAAAGTGGAAATGGGCGAAAAAGTGAAAATGAACTTGAAATCGAAAATAATTAAGTACGAGTGAGCGTGCGAATAGCGCATCAATACACATGTTCAATTGAACAAAACTTATCACTCTGGACGTGCGCTCTTCTCGATGTAACAGTCCACGCTTTGAAAGAGGGGAATGGGTAAATTTGGGCATGGGAACTGAATTTAACTGGGACTGTGCAGCGTAATGGGGGATGGAGAGGTGAGCAGGAAGACTTGATGAAGGCATGGAGATTTGGGTATATTTCTTATAGTAAAAATATGGTATTACTAAACAGATGAAGGAATAAATAAATGTGCAATCGAATGATAAACATACCCTAGATGCAGTCTCATCTGCGACCGAATCTCCATCAGAGTCGGCTGCCGATCCACTAGCACCTCAAAATTAATGGATGATTTTGAGAATTGTTGAAAAAACCAGAAAACAGCGAAAAAAATTAACTCTTTCACATAACAAATTCTTTTTTTTTCAATTCTTCTTTTCTCAAACATCAAAAAAAATTCTTTCTTCTTCATTATTGTCGTTTGAGCGTTACGAATCCAAAACCGATTTAAATGTCGTTTCTTTTTTGAAAATTAATGATCGAAAGAAACGAATCCAACAAAAAAAATTATAAAAGATTCCAAAGATAGCGATAGAGAAGTGTCGCACGAAAAAAAAACAGACATAAGAAAGTGATTCGAAATGAATGGTGTAGGGGCGCGGGGTGACCGTATTTTGTGAAAATTATATTCGGCTGAAGTCGTTTACGTGAACACTGCGTATGAGTGTGTTTATGTTTACGTTTAACATGTTCATGTAAAATAGTTTTTAAAATGATATCAAAGAAATCCGTTTTGATGAGGAAAAAACTGAATGATGTTAAGATAACCAATCTTCATTATTGACAATGATTAATTTTTGAATTTATTTCAAAAAAATGAAACGAAACAATCAAACAAATGTTCTCAAACAGACGTTTGAATTTGTTTCTGCCTGATTTGGTTTGATTTAATTCAAAATATTCGTATAATTTATCTCTTAAATGATGAACATTTTCAAAAATATCTCAAAGAATTAAGGAACATCAAGAAAAGGTTCATTGAAAGTGATTGATCAGATTTTTGATTGGACAGAGAGTGGGTTAATGTGTGAACACCTGAACGAAATTGCCTTCATTCAGTTGATTTCATATGCACTGAAATACTTCTTCTTTTTGGTCTAATGGTTAATCTGGACCGTTGAGAGTGTTTAGACATTTGAATTATCGAAGATTATTTGTGATGATATGATCAATTCTGAAAAACGAGAGCAGGGACGTAGCAAGAGTGCTGGCCAAGAAAACAACAACTGCGCTTACGAATTCGAAAATTGCACATGGAATTACTTCGATGTAATTCAAATTGTTTATTTAATGCGATGTAAAGAGGCGCAAACTCGCTGTGAGTTGTGTCTGTTGACTCAATAAATAATTCAAATTGAAAGGCGCAAACGAAAACAATCATTCGCTATTTTGACGTTTAGAAGTCGTCGCCTTACAAGCAAGTTAAGATTTCGTTAATTGCACTTCAAATGTTTCACTTTTCTGCATTTCTAAAGCCCTACGTTGCAATTCATAAGTGAAACCATACGGATTTGTAGGTGACATAGTGCAAAAGATCTCGGTAAATGTTTGATGCGTCGAATTTCCACTGTGATTTTAGGCACTTTTTTAATTAGCAGAGAAAGTTTGTATTAAAATTTATCATAATTTTGTTCACATAAACAGTTGAATGCTGCGCTTTTTGCATCGAAAAGAATGGTGTGCAATGGGGAAGAGAGTTCGTTCATTGGAAAGAGCGATTCGGACATTCACTGACAAAAGTAACTGATTGTTAGGAATAAAGATGACTGTGGCAAATCTGCAGAACGATATCGTGCAGAATTTCATTCAAGTCTATGAAACAATGAGATACAAAAAGATGAATTATTGAGGCATCAAAAAAATGAGCCAAAGCGAAAATAATTCGCAGAATATCTTCGTAACAAACCAAAGCAATCAAAAATTCGCCCAAACAAAAGACAATTAGACGTCAAGAAATAAAAGATGTCTAAAAAGGAATCAGTTGCTCGTTCAGTTACTTTAAAGCAACTGTTTCCATGCTTTAAAAGAATACGGATATTGATGCCCAAAACAAGAAATTTGAAAATCCCGCAATGGAACACCTCACTTCTGATGGCGACCCATAAAAGCTGCGCAACTATTCACTCATTTTCGTTGACAAAAATCCACTGCAACTCTTACATAGTGCGTGCAAAATAATTCATTTAGCGATCGCGGAGTGGAGCATAAAATGAAAATACACGACGACTCACCTTGTTCATCAGCACCACTTGCGTATGCATCGCTCATACTGTCCACTTGAAAGCCGTTTTCGGGTAAAGTAGAAGCAAGCATTTGATAGTGTTAATTGTTGTGTTATTTATTATACATTGACTCTTCGAATTGAAATGCTTGCTGCAAAATTCATTTTTACACTGCATTTATGATCGTTTTTCAAGACAACAACACGGCGGATGTTAGCACACAGCGTTGCGGAGACTATATATCGATTTGTTGAATGCGATCAGCATAATTTTCGCCGATTATGCACCCAACAGAACATATTCGTTTGTCAACATCGATCAGAAAGTGTTTCTGGTGATCAGGTCGTTACAACGTCATCAGTACACACGTGAAACATCAAGTATTTCTTCTAGGTAAACTACAACTTCAAGCAGTCATATTCATCTGCATGCACAATTGAACATTCTCATGCTCACATCACAAAAACGAACGAAGCTTCTATCACCGTTCTGAATGAGAGCCCTGATCACCGCAATCAATGCTATGATCACAGTATCGTTTCAACGACCGAGTATCAACAAATCTTACAACAGGATCAATAAGTACCTATTTATTCGACACATTTTCATGGATTTGATTGTGAAGAATTTAAATCGGATTCACCAAAAGATGGCAGTTTAAAATTCAGTCCAGACACGTTCATGAAGACATGTGAATAAACTAACGAAAAATGGACGGTTATAGAAAAGTTAACGCGGTTCAAAACAAAACGATTAAGTTTCACAGCAGCGAGATTAAGAAATAAGTTAAATATCGAATAAAGAAGAGCAACGATGAGAATCTCTCGAAAACGAATCGAATATTTCAATAAGTCAGACTATATCATTTATCGACCAACACCAAATAAATACAAAATGATAATGCTCGCACGTCAACTGCATAATCAAGCTCAATTTAACGATTTTCTTGCGTTTATTACATACAAGAATTTGGTCTTTGACATATCACCAACTGTCACTATCATCGTTATCAACGCAATGCAAATATAATTCGAAATGAAACTGGTATTTATCAGTTAGAGAAAGATGGATGGATGGCTCATTAATGATTTATTTAAATTCAGCACATCTTTTGAACTAGTTCAATTTACGAATTCATCATTGATTCACTTAACAAGCACACATACAACCATAACCCCAACCCTGACTTCAATCATCATCATTGGCCAATACGACCGTCCCAAGACTACTGCATGTGTTCCGAAATGTGAGACACTTCAGCTGTTCACATCTGAACGGAACGGATTATCTCACAACACCTCTCAATCTTTTGCGTCCTTTCAATCATGGACCATCCTTTCCCCCACCCTCTCCTTAACAGACAACACCAAAGCGGCAAGGAAGAGAGACCTATAAAAACCAAAACAACTTCTCGAAATAGAAAAAGTTGATCTCCTCAGTTCAAGCCAATCACTTCTTCCCGCGTGCAATTGCTCTCTTCCCAACCGAGAAAGCCTCTGCTAGGCGATCATAGTCGAGAGATGTTCGAAAGTTGCATTTGAGATCGTATATTTTTCTGGTGATCGTGTATGCGATGGCTTAGCACAAGAATTAATTGAATTTAGCTAGAACATAGATACTTATTGGTTCATAAAGCATTACAACATCAAATTGATAGTTTCAGATTGATGAGTTTGTGGTATTAAATGAGAACAGATGAAAGGATACAGAATGAGGACGGACGGATTTAAGTGTTGATTTTGAAAATTGAAATAGAATGTTGATGGAGACTAAGAAATTTTACGAGATGAAGCAGAGAGCGGAGCGATATCAGCAGCGAATAGTTGTAATGCTGGAGGTGGTGATGGTGGTTAATTGTGAATGACGACGAAAATAAACGAATAAATAAATAAATAAATGAATAAATAGATAAATAACTCCGTAAACAAGCGATAAACGAATAAATATACGTAATTAAATGTGTTGTATTTGAATAACTAACAAAATAAGTGAATAGGCAAATGAACAGATAAACAAGTGGTGGATTAACACTCGAATGAATAAACAAAACGAAATGCTCACTGAAAAAAAACCTCATCAATGATAAAATGATCTCTATTATCACAACAACAGCGAATAAATTTCACATAAATTTGTTTCAAAATTCATTATTCACATTTATTTTAATTTTCTTCATCTCTTTACAATTTCTCTCATTGTGTATCGTCACAAAACGCACTCTAGCAACTCACTATTCAAATCACACGCGAACACACAAAAAACAATCAAAATCGTACAACCAAACCTCTTTGAAAACGACTGAAAAAAATTTTTTTCATTAATTCAAATTTTTTTTGCGAATTCTTCGAATGATCATCAATTATATTTTTTATTTCCCAGTCCTCGCACCAGAAAATTTCACAAATAAAATGTTATTTTCGTCATCTTTCCAATCCACTCTTCTTTTCCGATGGCTCATCCGAATGAATTCTTTGTCTCCGCATTGCCCAGCCATCACCCGTTCGTTCACAACTTCTAATTCATCATTATTCTCAAGCCATCTTTTCAACGCTATAAAACTCACTCCATTCGAATCTATCGCACACAGAAATGTTTCGTTGTTTTATTTCTTTTCCCCACATCCACTCGGCAATCAATTATTGCCCGTTTCACTGAAATATTTCACATTTTATTTCTATCCTCACAACTGCAAAATCACAGAATTCGCATAGTCAAACCTCAAAATAATCGAAACGAACTTGCAAAAAAAACCATTCATTCATCATCCGTTCATTGCAATTGGGAAATTTCGTTTCAACTAATGAGAACTGTCGAGTGAACGAGCAAAACACCGATAAATACGAGCAGAATACTGATAGTAGAATAGTGATGAAACTGTTACGTTGCACTTGATCGAATGTGATCAAAACTTCGAAAACAAAATGATAATTTCGCATTGAGTTTAAATAGATTCAGCTCTGATGAATTGCAACGTTTAGCGGTACAATAGAATCGTTATACTCCAGAAGGCTCACTTTCAGGCAATGACGACCACAGTTGAAGCAATACATTCAATAACATAACTGATTTCGTTAATTAATAAAGTGACTTGTAAAAGAAGTTAAATATAATAACAGAGACAGTAGCATTTCAAGGAATATGGCTGAAGCAAGTCCGCAAACTACGCGCCACATCATTTTCGTGAAAATGACCACAATGCAACGAAATAACGAAGAAGTGGTCATGCTCAATGAATTTATTCGTCTTTGTCAAATCCTCTCTTCATTCTTTTCTTGTCTCCTTAAAATCACATACTGATCGCATCTATTGATTAAATGACCCACTGCTATTTCTTTGGCTCTCTTCGTTCGAATGCCCTTTATCATTCCGTCAAATTTTATCGCAAATATATACGTGATTCTGAAATTTTTCGAATTTTCCAACTATTTGTAGTTGGTTGTAAATGAGTTCAGTTGTTGTTATCAATGCTGAGTTCATTCATTCAGTTTTAGTTTGAGTACAAAGACAAAACGCAAATCGAAATATTTTCTCAAATTCATCAAAAAATGCTCATTTCTCGCCTTACACCCTAAATCCTCTGCCAACAGCCATCTCAATACTACTTGTTCGTTCGCTCAATCGTTCACACTAATCACAAAATATATAAATGAATAAATTCAACATTTATTCATCGTTCTCCGAAAAGAATTCAATTCTAACTTCTTATTCTTCTTCTATAACGCTTTATTCGCATTATTCCCATTGAAACGACTCGTTTCAAATCGATATTACCAAGATTCTTATCAAATGAAATGAAAAAAGCAAACAAAACAAAAAATAAAGCCTGAATCAATATCCCAGAAATTCAATTCAAACAATTTTTCTCATAAATTTTGATGACAAACTTCAATCAAGTAACTGCATGAATGAACAACGGAATCCTCTTTTAAAAGACCTATGGCGATTCAGATTCAATACCGTAAAACACTAGTCTTTCAATCAAATAATGAATCAAATGAAAACAAACAACTGCTACTTCAAATGAAATTAGCGTTTACGATTTTCTGAGCAATAACCTTTTCACATATAACCTCTGGTCAAAAGATTTCAATTGTTGCTGTGTGACATATAGCAATTAGCATAGACTTGATCAATTCGCATAAGTCGATAAATGTTACAAAATAACAGAGTGGAAAGGATCAGGGATTTTATCATACGGCATCAGATTATACGACTCCAGGTCTCAGGACACAACCAAAATAGAAGCAAATAACTGATAAGGCGAAGAGCAATAATCGTCGATCGTGTGCGCTCATCTCTCGCATGCCAAACGAACGCATCGCACTATGTTATACTTCTATCACATTAACAAATATAATAATTATTCCCTCAACAATAATAAAATAATCCCTATCAAATATAAACGAGATGATATATCTTCAATTTAGCACACATGTACTGATGCAACATCTACGTACCTTATTCATATCGCATATTTTATATTACTATTACTGCTATGAATATTACATAGATATAGAGAGATCATCATTAGAATATGCTATATAATAATGCAATAAATTAGTAATATAACTGAAACGGCCCAGTATAAACACAAACATGAGTGACCCCTTCACAACCACAATAATAGTATTAATATTAATAAGAATAATGCTCCTCTACAGAGCAAATACATTATAAATTTGTTTAATCAACCAATATTTATAATATAATTTTACGAAATTTGATATCAGCTCACAGTGTATCGTATCATTATATGCCATAGAATATTATACGATTATGGTTGAAATTAATTGACGGCGCTCAATTAACTTCTCGAGAATATTGCTTTCAATTGAGTTGCATTTTTTTTGCAAGTGAATGTGATGAAGCTTGATTGATTTCATGCAATTTTACGAGCATATTTCAATCACAATAATCAAATCAATAAACAAATGAATAGCAAACCAACAAATACAACACATTATTCGCAATGCGAGTAATCAAAAACAAAAAATCTCTCGACAAGATTTAACCTCAAAATGGACACGAATCAATGAGCAAGTCCCACTCAACAAGAGCTCTTCTCGAAAACGTTTAAAACCTTCGAAATGA